TGAGCGAGAAGCCATCTATCCATACCATCATCAATGAGACCAGTGCTTGTGGACCCAAAGCACAAAGCGTTTGAGCGAGCCGCAGGTGGGCACTGCGTAACGCCTGCATTTTGGATGTTTTGGGTAGGGTCTGTATTCTACAAGCAATGGGATAAGCTCTGTGATTTCGCTGAATCTGTGGGGAAGTATCACGGAGAACATGATTAGCTCCATTCTTTCGCCTGCACTGTGGGAAGCTCTGTGAAAAAAGGGAAGTGACCCTGATTATCTGAAAATGCAAATGTCCCTCTTTGTTTTAAAGCGGTTAGTCTATGTGTTGCTCGGTTTCTTTGAGTCCCCCCCAAAGCTACACCTACATGTGTGAATAGGATGGGGAAACACGTCAGGGCCACATCAGTCTTGTTAGCAATGAAGATGCAATAAAATAGCCTTAAACACTCAGGAGAACCACAGGAGATACCTACAGGCTCTGTTACCTGGTAAGACCTGTCCTTGCCAGCACAAGTATGCTAACGTGCAGTCACCTCGTTTTGCTATGCAGACTTGCTGGGGGTGAGCTTGCAGTGCAGAGGTCTGAGAAGTCAGAGAAAAGCTGTTGGGTGTTTGGGTCAGGGTTTTTTATGACATAGTTTGCTGTGAGCTCAAGTGATCAGAAAGGAAGAAATTAGCAGGAAAATTCAGTGACTCAGAGGATGTTTTACTGCAGGCCAAAGAAGTTCATGCTGTCTGATGATTTAACCCCTGCTGGGTTTGCACAGCTGACTATTTATGGGCAGGTTGAATGACAGCGTCCTTCTAAGGTCGGGGCTCGGGGAGGTGGTGATTGAACGCATGTTTCCGTCTTTCCGCAAGTCCCAGACCACCAGGCTAAAGACTTGTCTGGGCTGAGGGCATCTGCTTTGGTGAAGCTGTGGCACAGTGCAGAGAAGAATACACGGGACAGAGAGAAGGGCATGAAGGAGCTGGCGCATAGCGTGGGTCTGAAGAGCTCTCCCGGGGCAGGAAACCCTCCCGCCTAGTACTAAGGTCGCTTCTTTCAATTTGAACAGACATTACATTTTCCAAAATGGAAACATCAGTGGGAAACGGTGCTTTAAGAATGGGGTCTCCTTCCTGGGCAGTGGAACCTCTAATCCCCCTGACACCCCCGGCTGACAGCTTCCAGGAACAAGGGCAAAAATCCCTTACGTGTACACGCTGTCCTGCCTGGGGACAGATGGGGACAAAGCTGAGGATCAGAAAAGTAACTGAATGTTTCTGAAAGCTGCAAACACTAATCATTGGAGGGGAGATTAAAAGTGGCCAGCAGAACAGAAGCCCTTGATGGATCGAGGCACTAAAGGAGCCTTCTGTTTTCAGACACTTAGAAATGGGAAAAGTACCCTGGATAATCCTGTGGCTGTGTTAAGGATGGACTGGAGATCCACAAAGGATCCATTTTCAATGGAACTTTAGACTTGTTTCCACTGCCGTAGTCAATAACGAGCGCAATTTGGAAGCACGACTCGATGCTATCTTAATGTTGCAGTGTCAGTGCAGGCAGCAAAGGTCCTCAGCGGTACCCGGACTTATCTGCAGAAAAGTTGCACACTTGACTGGCTGTAGCTTAAAAAGGGTTGTGGGGTTTTTTGTTGTTTTTGTAAGTCAAGACAAATCAATTTCTCTGTTACTTTAGTGTTTTCTAGGAGACACCACGCTGAATTCTACTCCCAGTTTCCACACTGACATTGAAAGAGGCTAAAGGGCAGTAACCGAGAGGCAAAATCTTGAACAATCAATGCAAAAAGAAAAAAACAAACCAACAAACAGTCCTTTTCTCTACCTGTTGGTAAGGTGCAGAGCCAACACTACCCATTTAGTTTATGTCTAATGGACTTAAAGAAGGCCAAAAATTGGTTTAACGCTGTCTTAAGGCACCTGATCTAATATCATTACATTTTGCCCAATCCAATAAGTATTGCAAATCCTAGTATATTGCTGAAATCTGACCTTGCGCATCATTAAATCGATTTGGAAGGAAGCCTGGCACTGCATGCGCGCACGCATTTCTGTGCAGACGTGAGCGCTCGGAGGGGGCTGCTTCCCAAGGGGGCTGACGTGCCCCACAGAGGACCCTCATTGCGGGATTAAAAAACTTCTCTAAACACTGAGAGCTGTGTTCTCTCTTAATCACCTGGATACAGTTTCCGTTAGTTTAAAAAGCAGAGTTTTAAGGTTTCTTCTCCCGCTATCAGCTGATCTCTCGGCGTCCCTCCCTCGCCCGCTGCAGCGAGCGGTAGTTTAAATGCTTCCTTTTCAAACGCACGCCAGCCAGCTCCCGAGTGCTACTTCTGGGAGGTGTGGTACAACAGTGCATGAAAGAAGCGGCAGTTTATACTATTTGAAAAATGTTCTTCTGCTTCACCTCTAACAAAGTTGATTGCATTTTCCATTTCACCTCCTTCACAGCTTTTCTCTCTTCCTTAAGTATTCTGTGACAGGGAAATTACCGTGGTTTCCCATTTAAGAGATGGAGGGAACAAGTGAGATAATCTAGAAACAAGTCTGTAATAGGCATCCACCGACATGGAGCAGGGCTCTCGACATGTCAGGTCGAGCTGTTGAGCCGTCAAGCCCTGCTGTAGCCTCTGAGACCTGTCCTGCAAAGTCCGTAAATTTAAATGAATAAAGAGTACAGTTGAATGCAGTGGAAGTATTCCTGTTCCTAAAGGGCTTCACTGCTTTCCAGGCATCACTGATTCTCCGAAACCAACTTAAAGCCCCTTCCGATGCTACCGTCATGCCGTGGGAGGCTGCGCGGGCAGGGCGAAGGCAGCGCGCGGTGCCTGCAGGCAGCAACCTCCTGGCACAGGCAACACCCCTCTGCCTCTTCCCAGCCCCGAGAGCTGCACCTCAGCCTCAGCAACACAGCCCCAAGTGCCTGCCAAAGTCTTTGGCAAAAAAAATTGTTGGCGATATATGTAAAATGCATATGGCAAGATTCAAAAAATCAGTCACTAAAAGCCAACTCTCAGGAATTTCCTCCTACCTCCCTCTTCTGAGCAATGCCACCGGCTCCCTGCTCTGGCAGCCTCATGCTTCTCTTTGGGTCGTGGGCACGAGACAAACCACAGAGTAAGAGTTTTCAGCAAAACGTTCAGTGCCGGTACTTAATTTAATTAATCTGAGACTGGGCTATGATTACGACAATGTAGTACAAAAGAAACACAGCTTCTAATTTAATGACCCTACTTGCTATTTTTCAGATTTCATGTCTTCAGTAAAACAACCCGGCTTCACTTAACTTGATGCTTGGGGTCTGACTGAATTTCTGTCTGACTTGAGGACTTCATCTCGTAAAAAGAACTGCCAGTGTTACAGCATGAGCTCGTTCTTCCTAAAAGAAATGCTGACTAATGTTTTAGGAGCTAATTAATTTTATAGTCAGAGAAGTCTAAGACAACAGCCCCTCCTTTTTCATCTCAGAGAGAAAGAGAGAGAAAGAGAGAAAACAAGAGAGCAATTGCTGTGTAAGCAGTACGTATGGTTAGGCATACTGTGTTTGTCAGGATGCAAGTCCAGTGATTTAAGTGGGCATACTGGTAGGCATGCTCAGGCACCTCTGAACTGTGTCACTGAACGACTGAACAGTGCCATTATTAATTAATTATTGCCTTAATTAATTAATAATATAATTAATTGAACAGCAAATAATAATTAAAACTGGTTTTGTCGTGGCCATCATGCAAGTCAGCTCCTCTAATTTTCCACTTGCAATAATCTCCGTGGTCGCTTCTGCGCCGAGGGGCAAGCATGCTAGTGGCGAGGGGCGCAGCTGCAAAACCGAGCTCGTGGAGCACCCGCTACTGCCTGAACTACACGTCCATTGTGGAAGATACGCGTTCCCTGGGGCCGTTTCTGGGTGCGTGCATACTTTAAGCTTAGAAAATCTGGCCAGGAGAGTTTTTAGAGAACATCTCAGAAGACAACATAGGAAGTTAGTAGAGAGGAGAAGACTAATGACAATGGAGAGACACAGCAAACCAAGGAGTTTACAGGTGGCCTAGCAAACCACTACTGGACCAGCAAAGCCAGTAGACAACAAACAGGTGAGGCAGAAAGCAAGGAGTTCCTTAAACTTTTGCAAAAAACAACCCAATGCCTGTACAGAGCGGGGACAAATCTGCCTGGAACTGACTGTAGCCAAGAAGCGATGAGTTATCTCAAAACCCATTTATAGGCCTAGTTGTGCCACGGTACCTCGGTAACGAATCGATATGCCTACGACTCTGTGAAGCTTTGGAAAACTTGAGAAATGACCTTTCTGACTTTCCCTCCGTATTTACTATTTCAAAACCTGCAGCTGCAAGAGTTATTGAGAGAGATAATTAACGCTGGCGGTTTCGCCAATTGAGAATCTGTTTAATATCTAGCATGGCATTTATTAGTTGGCCATAGCCTGCCTGGGTGGGGAAATGAATCTGACATTAGAGAGATATAATGTCTTCTTTACTAAGATACTTTATTTCCTAGAGCTGATGCTACTATGCTGTCCTTAAAAAGTTACAGGTAGCCCCAGGAAACATGACTGTCCCCTTTCCAAAAGCAGGAAAGGGGTAGATCCCTCACCATCTCCAGTATTTTAGCCATCTTTCTTTCTCTGCTAAGGGGAGACTTTGGGAATTAGCAGAACCCCCCCCATCTCCGCACTCACTGCCATTGCAGCCTGAGATAAACAACCGAGAGATTTCTGCCCCCAGGGACAGCTTCTGGACATCAGACTGGAGACACGAGATCAAATTCATCTCTGGTGAAACTCCACTGGCTTCAGCCACATTAGACCAGAGATTAATTTGGCCCACAGATACATTAAGAAAGGATACAAAGCACAAACGGTATTTTATAAAAAAAGAGAAAGGGGAGGGGGAAATTCAAGGGGGATGCTGGATCCTAACCCAGCAGGATTCAGCCCAGCCCGCTCCACCCTCACATCACCAGGCACAGTGCATGTTGCCGGTTACCTTTTTGCTTACTGACTTTCTTTACTGTCATTGCCGCTTGCCGCTTTTGATTTTCAGAAATTTCAAAGCCTGAAAAAGGGAACACGGCAAACACAATTCAGAAGATTGCTTACAAAACCTCTTTTTCTTTTGGGGAGGGGGAATGTTCTGCACTGTTTGGCAAACACAGAATGCCCTAGGTGGCAAAGCATCACCCAGTGAGCTGTGGGTACGGGCAGGTATTTTACTGAAAAGCAAATCTTCCTTGAAAGGGCAGGCCTCTTTATAATCTCGCTTGTGCAGGGGCTGTATGGAAAGTAAGATTAGACCCGTTATTATTTATACAGTATCATAAATATGCCCAGTGCTCTACAGCTGAGCAACACAAACTGAGCCTGAACTGACGCTGGTTACAGTCAATTTATGGGCTGATGCTGAGGGAAGGGCATGGCTGAGAAGTCATTGACTTCGCCACCCTCCTACCCTGCACGAGACATGCGTAACCAGAGCAGCAGTGACGCAGCCAGGACGCTCTGAAGTCAGATGGCCAAAGACCTCCTTCTCCCACAATGCCCACGGAGGGCCAGGCTTGAAACTATGGGCAGAATTAGTTAACTGAGGGCCAAAAATAACGGTGTCTGAATTGGAAAGAGACCTATTTATGACTATGAGAGCAACCAAGGACATCTGAACAAGGTTGAACTGTAATTCTACTACCAAGAAAAATGTGGGCTTCTCCAACAGTTGGGGCTAAATTAAGCATTACCAACAATCTCCTTTCAGATTCATTTCATATTCCTCACCTATCTTTTCATCTTCTTTTACCATCTTCCTTTCTTCTCTGAAAGCTCTAAGCCATCGTAACTTCTCCTCCAGTTTCTTGGCAAAGAATAAGTGCATTTCCTCAGTCTCCTTGTTATGAAGTTTGAAGGCATTCTTCATGCTGACATTGAAGTCATCATCTCTCCCATCTTCTATATCCACCACTTCATACTTATCCATGTCTATGCGACCTTTGTAATACAGAATATCTCTTCGTATCAGATCCTACAGAGAGAAAAGGAGAGATGGGTTAATTGTAAGATACTTACAGAGCCTGAACTTAGCAGGGAATTCATGGGAGGGCTGAAGAAAAGAAAGAAGTAATGGTGAAAACTGGTCGGATTCCTCAAGCCTCATCTGCTGTGAATACATTTGTTGCTGGCTAACAAACAGGGTAGGTCATAGGCATAAAAGGACAAAATACAAGTCCTCGTGCTGCAAAATTTTGCTTGCAGGCATGAAGAAATGCCTTTGAGTAGGTAACATACTTCCGTCATTTCCCATGATGGGAAGTTTTGTTCCATAGGAGGAGAAACCTGAAAATACAGGCCACTGGCCTGATGGGATTCCGATGCTGCAAATGAGGCTGTGTAGAAGCATAAATCCTGAGAAATCAGCTCGGGCATGTTTGGCAGTGCAGACTGGGTGGTGCAGATCTCTGTTTTCCAAACGCATTGGCAGAGTCAGGGGAGATGAGGCTCTGCCCCTTCTCCTTAGAACCCATTTCCCTTTCATACACAACTCACTGGCGAGAAAGTCACCCTGATTCTCAGTTCAAAGAACTCCTAACCTTATCTCTCTGGTTTTAACCTCTTGATCCAGCTTAAATTTTTTTTCTTTTTCCCTCCTTGATGTTTATAACTTTTACAACCAAACCTGTTCATCCTCATCTCCTTTCTAAGCTGATTATTCCTGCCCCTTGTTTTTCAGCAAGAGCTCATTTCTCTATGTTGGGAAGGGAGAAGTAGAATAGTCTTCGTTATTAATTTTTCAGAACTCAGATGAGAATACCCACAGCTCCGTGGCTGTTCGACATGCCCAGCACAACCTCCGCTCCATGCCGGCAGCAGCTGGTGCCGTGTATCGGGTCACACCAACCCTCCCACGATCCCTCCTGCCAAACCACAGAGGGCACGCGGTCACGGCAGCCGGAGACAGCGGTAGGTGGAGGCAACACTAAAAAAAGTGTTTTGAGATCTATTGTGTCAACTGCTCAATCACAGATGTGAAATTGTGGCTGCTGGTAAACTGTAGTAAAACCCAGGTAATTTCCTGTTTTCTTCCTTACCTCTTCATACTTGTTTTGGCTTTGCCCATCAAATTTTGTCCTGCCTTTACTAGAACTATTCCTGATTTATACTGGTGTGAGAGGAGCATTGGTCCCACATCTCTATGTCTTTATAGGAACAAAAAATGATCATCAGAAAACAGAATGTTAATTACAGAGTCATGACCACATAAGGTGATTCAAGTTACAAGGCATACATATTTAAAAAGCCAAATTTAGCAACGCACAATCAAGATTTCCTTCCTCTACCCACTCTCAAAAGCCAGTATCTAGGTGTATTAAATTAATTTAACTTAAATACTTTTTGATTTTTGAGAGTGCCCTAAAGATAAATGCTATGTCAAAGGATTCATTTAAGAGGAAAAATAAAATCAATGTACAGCATTTATTTACTCAAATAAGATTTAGTAGTGAGGTTTTTTAAAGATAAGCAGTAGGCATTATTTTAAACAAATCATTAATCTTGGAAAATAAATTGTACAACATAATTTTTTTTAGCAAACTTGCTCATGGATCTGCCAGACAGTATTAACTATCATGAGACAGGGTACTGTCCAGAAGCTCGTAGTCTTTAAAACCTGGCTCCTTCCCCTGGAATGCTCTAGGGGGGGAAAAAAATCCCATTAACTAATGTCTTGTACAAGTATTTTCCTCGTATGTAGGCTTTGAGTAGTGATGCTGTCCAAAACACGAGAAAAGGATATTTCAGGCTGAATATGAAGTAGAAAATCTTTCCTGTTTTGTCCTAACTTGGAAAATTGCTTCTTTCCTCTCCCTCTGCGCCCAGTGAAGTGCTGAGAAAAGGCTGTAAGCATCACACTAAACTTGGTCAATTAAATCAATACTGTGCACTGTGTTTAAATTTGAGTCTTGGACTAGTTCTTAGAAATAGCATTTATCTTCACCACGTTCTCCAAAAAACTTGATTACAAATCTCACAGGAAAAAAAGATGTGCTCCTTAAATTAGCTATACCGGCAACTATTCGTCTTCCCAGGCAGGCAGAACCAACTCACTGCTGATGAAAACTTCCAAAACACAACACTGAACAGACTGCCCTTGTGAAGGAGATGGGTGAAGCGGGATCGAACATACTTTTCTATGCAATATTTATGATTTTGTAGAGATTTGTTCATAGAAGGTATTACAAGAATAAATAATTACAATCCTCCTTCTCACCTGGCTCTGAAAACACAAGGCTCTGTGCATTAGCTTTTTCCTTACACATACTAAATATGTTTTTTCCTCTCTTATCTCTCCGATTTTGATTTAGAAAACATTACAGGCTATTTTTAATAGCTAATGCTAAGTGAATGCTTTAACAGCTTTGTGCTGTCACTATACTTCCAGAGGACAATACACGGGGTTTGGACACGTCTGACGGAACCGCTCCGTGCGTTTCCCCTCCAAGGCTGCCGCGGGAACAATCGCTGCCTCCCGCGAGGCTTCTGCAGCACGTTTTGGAGGCTCCCGCGCTTTGCAGGAGTTGCTGAGTACAGGATGCGAAGCTAACGGTGTTGCCTAGGAGTTACTGAAGGAGCAATGAGGAGATAATGGAATCATACAAGTGCTTTTTGGAAATAAAATGGCCCCAAAGAATATTATTGTTGGTGAGAGTGCAACAGCGGGAAAGAACAAGCTCAGCTATCGAGACTGCAGAAAACGCACGAAGAAGAAACACCACGTTTCCGTCCTTGAGCGTTAAGTAAGCACACGGGCGAAGGAGGGAAGGACAGCAAGCGCAAAGTCCTGCCTGCTGTTTTTACTTTCATTTGGAGAAGAAACTTCCATAATGAATGGAGAAGAAATGAATCAGCTTTCCTCCCATCGCCCTCCCCAGGGCGCTCAGCCTCCAGCTTGGCAGGAACCTTCCGGTGGAGAAAGAGCCCCTGGATGAAACCAGCCAAAGAGATGCAGAAAAGGTAAAGAGCTTAGAAGAGCAAGTCCATGCCTGACGTTACCCAAGTGCGGGTCGCTGCCCTGTGCCAACAGCGCATTTCCTTCGTCCTTCCACAAAAGAAGGACCGTTCCCCGCTCGCTGACGGTAAACTCCAGCACCGAGACCCCAAGTTTTTAAGAGACCCTTTATTTTTCACCGAGTGGTAGAGCACGTAAACGTCTCGGTGAATAACACGTGTCTGCAGATGGAAGACGCTTTGTACACACCTGGTTTCGAGAAAGTTCAGTCCATACAGCAGATTAATAACTGTAACTGGATAATGTCATTTTGTACAGGTTAGGCATTTCCTACTACCACTTCTGCTTTCTTCCCCTCTTCTTGCCAATGCTCAATAAATGGATATTATTTCCTAATGGACAAAATTTTAACACCCGTAGTATGGGAAACATAATAATTATTTGATCTGTGGATATTTTATCACATATGTCCCTACAGCTCTTAAAAAGTAACATATATGCCCTAACTCCTTAGCGGAGCGTGGGCAAATGCACTTGGCTTGCACTGTAATTGATTTCAATAAAATTTAGGAATTCATCTGGGCTACATGAGAGACGTACAGCAAACAAGGCCAAACCCCTGTTCAGAGGAGCTTTTTTATGCATGCGGACAAGAGAACAAAAAATCAGGGAACAGGCAGGCAATGAAGGCCACGGTGCTTCGTGTGATTTCTGCAGGGTGCAGACAGAAAGCCCGTCGCAGTGTTGAGGGATGAACCTTGTTGCTCTGTTTTGTCAAGCGCACGGCTATCTTCCCTTTCTTCGAGCACGTAAGCCGACTCTAACAAGCGCACGCAAGATAAAGGAAAGCAGATGTGTGGCTGGAGGTGAAAATGGATAGTTTAAACAGACTGGCATAAGTACTACATGTCAGAAGGACAACGCAAATATGCATGCACAAAATGGAGATTTATCAGCTGTATCAGCAGCCACACTGTCGAAAGGAGCTCAGGCTTAGGGGAGGGCAGAAATGGCAGCTGGGACAGGCTGCTGCTATTACTCCCGATTATCCCAGGGATAACATACAAGAGAATTAGGAAGAAATCATTACACTATAGAATTTACCTTCATTTATCTGCTGGATATATTAGTACAGTATTATATATTATCCTGTCCATCATTAAGCCAGGCTGATGACTAGCTGGTTTACACTGTCCAGTTTTGAATGTCATACCAAATTATTTTTTGTAGTTAAATCAGACGAGTGCAAGAAAATATAAAAAGACAAAAAAACTCTCAAAACCGGATCAGTGGGGAAAGGCCAAAGAAATGGGGTTGTTTAATCTAGAAGGGACATAAATCAAAGGTCATGTGCTATTGGTATTCCAATATGTGAAAGCTGCTTCTCTTCTAAGGAGGCTGGTGATCAATTATTCTCCATTTTGATTGTGGCTTGGCTTAATTTACCACAAGGGAGAATAGGATTAGATACATGGAAAAAAATCTTTCTAGCTATAAGAGTAGTTAAACACTAGAGCAGACAAAATAGGGAAGTCTTGGGACAGCATTCCTTGGAGATTTTAAAAAATAAGGTTAGACAAACATCCATCAGAGATGATCTCAGTATACTTAATCCTGCGAAGGGAATAGCTAATCTCCTGGGGTCCTTCCCAGCTCTGCATTTTGGTGATGTCTAAGAGAAAGGTGACAGATGGAGGAGAAAATGGGATGCGAGCAGGTGGGATCAGTAGGGAATTCAGGGGCGGTACGGGAGAAGCCCCAAGGCACAGACCAGGACGGGACCAGGACGGGACCGGGCTGGCAAGCACGAGGAGCGGTGACACAAACCTGCAGTCGCTGCAGACAGCATCCAGATTGTGTTGCATGGCTCTTAAGGAAATTGATGCATCTAGGTCATCTGCACTTATTTGTCTAAATATTATCTTTTTTTACCCTACAGCTTCTACGATTTCCTTTTCTTTACCTAGCTGAGGATAATTAAGCTCTTCTGAATAACGCTCTGCAGCCCATTCACGTAA